CTTACCAATGAACCGAATATTCTTACCCTGTTATTCCCTCAAAAATTTCAATAAAAAAATATTGAAAATATAAATTACAGTAGATTAACAAGAAATCTTCTTAGTGAGAAATTACCTTTACATCATGTAAAAAATAAGACAGGTTTTAGTAACTTTATATTGTGTTTATATGGTAATAAAAATATTGTAGATAAAATCAATTTGGGCAATTTTAAATTTAGGCAGAGGATAATAGAAAATAAATTGTCAAAAGGAGCATGGGTAGCCAGGTGCTAACTTGGAAGACAGATACCAAAACAAAAAATAAATAAATACATACCTACAGGTATTTATGTAGGAGGTACTGCAGAAAAAATTAAAGTGGAAAGAAACTATTTTTTTAACTACTTCAATACCACTGCTGCTATTTGCCTCTGGGGAGGCTACATGCATCATCCCTGATTTGACAACTTGCATTTGTACTTCCATGCATACAGGGGTGGTTTCCCGTCCTCCAACTTGTTACAATGCTTGCTTTGTATATGCTTATGGGCTAAGTTCCCACTTTGGAATGCTTATCAAGGCTTGTAAATTGTAATGTATAGGACTTGTTACCTGTTTAATTTCCATTAACCACTTCAAAGTCGGACACTTTCACCCCCTTCCAGTCCAAGCCAATTTTCAGCTTTCAGGGCTATCACACTTTGAATGCCAATTGCAAGGTCATACAATTATTTTTCTTTCTGTCTGGCTGCATTTCTGCAGCCTTTGAGAAATACTGTGAGAGCTGTGACTGGTCACAGCTTGTCACATGGTACAAGGCTGTTGTGAATAGCTTGTGTCATGTAACCTCTGTGATCATTCACAGATTTCACAAATAGTAAACAATGATGCCAGGAAGTGTTTGCTACTGTTCATGTGGCCATTGATTGACCAATCATTAATCATGTGAATCAGGACCTCGCACAGAGGTCTCGTACAATGATCTGCTGTGAGCGCGCACAGGCAATGGATGCAGGGGGATATTTAGAAATGTCCCTCCGCATCGTCAGCTCTCCCTTCCGGCCGTTTATCGGCATGCACCGGATAGGAAGAGGTTAAGTAGATTATGGTATGTGGGCTCTATCCCTCCAAGGGCTTGCTGATATCTTCATGGGTGGTCCTAGTGGTGCATACACAAAAAAAATGTTTTTCGACTACCCATTAAATGGTCCTCAGAATTCCTGTGGCATTTACAGCATATGCAGTATTCTAATATCTCCTGAAGAAGCCATTGATTGACAAAACATGTTGAGTTGAAGTCACTGCACATGTATTCAAGCCACATTAATATTCTGTGATGGTTTTATCTATCAATACTGTGCAAAATCTCTTTTTAACAATGTTTTTAAAATTGTAATAACATTTGGATTTTTTTATACATATGTAATTCATGTATGATGTATTCATGTATGATTGTGGCGCATTAAAAATCTTTTTAACAATGTTTAAAATTGTAATAACATTTGGATTTTTTGTATATATACAGTATAATTAATGTATGATTTTGGCACATTAAAAATCTTTGTTTTTTTTTCTATTATTTTCACTTTGTTAATTTTGGTTGGGATGTGGTGCCCTTGATTCCCAGATGCCTGGTATTTCCATATCTTGAAAAGTCTTTATTAGAGAATGGTCTAAAATTAAGCAATAGCTAAGATGGCTACACTAGAAACCCCAGGAACATACAACATGAACTAAGCTGACATGCATTTAATAATTATATGTAAGCACGGACATATTTTTATGCAATAAGGCACACCATTTTTTCCTATGTGCAGTTACCAATTTTTATAGAGTCCCTGAATGTGATTTTGGATACTAGCTCATCTAATTTATAAAAGTAAAGTCAGCATTAATGTTCATCATGCCCCCATGAGCCTTATGGTTTGCTTTTATTAAAATACTTTAATATACTAGTCTCAGTAAGGACATGACAGCTTACAGGAAGAAGGCACTTTTAGGCAAGAATCTCTCCCTAAATCTAATGCAGAGTAATTAAATGGTCTAACTTTAGGCCCACTTATAACAGGAATGATGAAAAATCTGACTATGCAACAGAACAACCTAAGCTCAAAGTTTGATATGCTGCCTTAATCAAGTCACAAGGTTAAAGCAGCTGTGCTATGAAAAAAAACATCCTTAGAATCCCAAATTTATATGAAATGTTTTTATTCAAGCAATTGAAACTATATACTGTATACTTATACTTAGCCATAGCATATGACCACTGACGGAAAACTAGTGATCCAGTTATGGTCATGGGCAACCAAGGCTCATTGATGCATCTGGGAAGCAAAGGCTGGCCTGTGTAGTCCAATTCCATAGAAGCTGTAGCTCAAATGGCTGAAAAAGTTAATGCTGGTTCAGACAGGAATGTGTCAGAACACAGTGCATTGCAGCTTGCTGCCTATGGGGATGCGTATCTGGAGACCAGTCAGGGTGCCCATGCTGACCAATGCCCACAGGCAAAAGTGCCTACAACAGGTATGAGAGCTTTAGAACTGAACCACAGAGCAATGAAAGAATTTGTCTGGTCTGCTAAATTCAAGAATGGGTTGAGAAACAAAACAACGAGTTTGAGGTGTTAACTTGGCCTACAAATTCTCCAGCATTCAATCCAATCAAGCATCTATAGGACATACTATAAAACATATCCAATCCATTTTTTTAATCTGCCTTGTTTTCTAAAGATTAATTGGTCCTTAACCTCTTACCATCGGCAGTCTGTAGACTAATGTTCAGTTACATGATGCATCATTCAGAGGGAATTTTAAACTATGTTCCCACTTTGACAGCCAGCAACTGACACTATTAGCTGCTGCTATCAGCCAGAATTGACTGCCACTGGCAGCTCTGGCCCCCACTAATGATCTAGAGCCAATCACTGTGGTTTCTGATTATGTGACCACAATGTCAGTTATAATCACTCAGCTTTTTGTCCATTTTGTAATCTGGTAATAACAAATATCAGCAGAGTTTTCATTACAGTATTGCACTGAGCATAAAAGGCCAAACAGTGTATGTCATTTGAGAAAATATAACAAATGATTTAGGTGGACACATTAACAAATACATATTGGTGCTGCTAAATTTGGCATGAACATCTAGGCATCAACAACCTCTGGTCAAAAGCTGTATTCACTTTAATAATTTAATAATTTTCAATGGAAATTAATTTCTTTTTAAAGTTCCTCTGCACATGATTAGATGCTAAAAGGCAACGCTGTGAAGTTGAGCAAGTACAATTAGGTACAGTAAATCAATCTTTTTATCTGAAGTTTAGTAAGTACAATTAAGCACAGTAAATCAACCTCTTTATCTGAATTGTATTTTATTTTTTTTTCTGTGGTATACAATTTAACCCATTTAAATACTGTATGTTGATTATCCCAACAATTAAAGATTTTTGTTTACCAGCTTTTTCTGTTGATTTAAAAATCTCTCTGGTCACTTTGACATTAATTATAATCTACCTCTCAATAGACATAAATGTGGAAAAACAATTAAGATGTTAGTTAGGAAGCAATCTGGCTCTTTCTTGAATTATACCAGCTACAGTATATTTTAAAGAGAATTCTGAATTTGACATGACTTTTGCAATGGGTGATAATGGTACATAATAAATGTATTTTGTTCAGAATGTTAGTAACGGCAAATACAAACTGAGTTCTAGGAATACAACTGTTTCATTGCAGGTAATTGGATACAATGTTAAGGGAACATTATTTCTGCTGCTGTCTAATCCACTAGTAATTGTTTATTTATAGCTATTGTTTCCCACACACAGTCTGTTTCAACTCCTTGGAGACTAGAAAATTTCTTATACAGTTTTATAGGATTATTTCCCAGAACTATTTAGTAGATCAATGATTCTTAACTCATTCAAATCTTCTAATTTGTGAGCCCAATGATGCAATTAGTTCTAGTAGAATACTTTACCACCAAATGTTAAGGATCATTCTACAATAAAACTATAGGAAAAATGAAAGCAGTAATGCAAGTCTACTTAATTAAAATTGGGGAAAGGACCCAGAGCACAAGAGTGAAGTTGTTGTCAAAAGCAACCGATTGATTCACTTTTCATACTATAGAACAATGAAGGAAAAATCCTAAATGATATCTATGGGGAACTATTTCATATGTGTTGTTATTTTCTTTTAATGATTTTTTTAAAATGAATCATCTCTATAACAATCAAATAAGATATATACAGTAGATTAACTATGTTACATGTGTATTTTTTGGTGTGTAAAGAGTGCTTTTTAGAATAAAGATTGTTTAAGTAAACCTTTGCTACAAAAATACATGATAAATGAAAACAAGGAGTCACATGATTTTTCTTTAGGGCCTGTTCACACATAAGGGTGCATTAACCACTTCCAGACCAGACACTTTTACCCCCTTCCTGCCCAGGGCAATTTTCAGCTTTCAGCGCTATCACACTTTGAATGACAATTGCGCGGTCATGCAACACTGTACCCATATTAATTTTTTACCATTTTTTTGAGACAGATAAAGTTTTATTTTGGTGGTATTTATTCACCGCTGGAATTTTTATTTTGTTTGCTATGTAAATGAAATGTCCAAAAATTTAGAAAAAAAAGTGTTTTTTTTTATAAAATTTTGCAAATAAATAATATTTCATCATAAATCTTGGCCAAAATGTATTCTGTTATCTTTTTAGTAAAAAAAAAAATCCAAATTAGTTTATAACCAAAAATTATAATTTTTAATCCTTTTTTTTTTACATTTTGATTTTTTTTTTTATATTATTTTTTTATTTGTATTTTTTTTTTTTTTTACATACTGTCACCCCAGCAGTACAGTGTCACCATGGTGACACTGTACTACTTGTGGGGGGTGATGATTTTTTTTTTTTTTTTTTTTTTTTTTTTACACTGATTGCTTTTACACCCATATAGGATGTAAACGCAATCATTTCTCTTTCTCTCTGTCTGCATTCTTGCGGTCATTGAGAAGTACTGAGTGAGCTGTGATTGGTCACAGCTTGTCACATGGTACAAAGCTGTTGTGAATAGCCTTGTACCATGTGACCTCTGTGATCATTCACAGATTTTACCTGTAGTAAGCAATGATGTCACAAGTGACATCTTGCTTACTACTTTGCATGTGATCACTGATTGGCCAATCAGTGATCACATGATCGGGACCTCGTACAGAGGTCCCGTCCGATGATCGGTGTTTCACTGTGTCCGGAGGACACAGCGGGCACTGGATCACGTTTATAAACGTCCACCCCATCCTGCACTGCCACTGTCTGGCCGTTTATATACAACGGCCGGTCGGGAATTAGTTAAAATGCTTGAAAAATGGATGTATATTGCCTTCTGTTGACGTGCATTGACATGCATTTTTATGTGAATTGATGTGCAGTTTAATGTGCATTGACGTCAGTTGATATACTTTCTTTATGAACGTTAAATTGTTATGCATTTTGAAGGTTATTTTCTCTGACACCTTTTCCTTTTCCTGTTCCGGGGTTGAGAAGCAGACTGATAGAGAGAAGAAAGAAAAACAGAGAGAGACAGAGCTGAACACATTTTTGCTCTTGTCTAGCATAACAGCCCACACATGGCTTACAAACTCATCTATTTCTATAAACCCTTCTATTAAAACACTTCACTAGCCAACTTTATAAGGGACAAAATAATGATAAAAACTTTTCCCCAATAGACTTGCATTGTGTTTCATTGTGTTTGCATGCGTTGATGAGCATTGCATTAAACTGCATTCATTTAGCATTTCTAACACAAATTAATATATTTAGCATTTTAATGCAATGCACCACATAGCAGGATGCCAGCATTGTAGTGTGAACAGGACACATAGAAAATGTACACATACATACAGGGCACATAGAAAACAATTGTTTTCTATGTGCCCCTGCAGTGAATTTTGTTCTTTCAATGCAGTAAAATGGAGGTAAACACAGCATTCATGAAGAGGCCCTCAGGGGAACCCACATGGAAGAAAAATATATTTGAAATATATTTTAAAAATATGCTTCCCAAATATATTTATATATATTTGAAATACTACAATTTTGGCCATATATATATATATATATATATATATATATATACTGTATGTTGAAATGCATTTGTATTACATAATATATGAAAAATATTGTTAAAAATAAATTTTCAAATATACTGTATGTCTTTAAAAATACAAATCTATATTTTTGGAATGCATTTACAAATATATATATGTTAAAATTACTTTTTTATATGTTAAAAAAAATCTGAATACTATATTTTAAAAATATATATATATTTTTAAAAATATATATTTTTTTAATATATACTTCAGATTTTTTTTGCATTCCAAAATTGTAGATTTGTATTTTTAAAGACATACCATATATTTGCTGGATGGGGAGCTGTATACTGTTGTTGGATGGGGAGGCTGTCTATTCTTGCTGGATGGGTAGCTGTCTGTTGTTTCTGAATGGGAGCCTGTTTATTGTTGCTGGATGGGAGGCTGTCTATTGTTGCTGGATTAGGACCTGTCTATTGTTTCTGAATGGGGGGCCTTTCTATTGTTGTTGGATGGGGAACTGTCTATTGTTGTTGTTGGATTGGGGGAACCTGTCTATTGTTGCTGGATGGGTAGCTGTCTATTGTTTATAGATGGCTGGCTGACTATTGTTTTTGGATTGGGGCCCTGTCTATTGTTTCTGGATGGGGGGCCTGTTTATTTTTGCTGGATGGGAGTCCTTTCTATTGTTGTTGGATGGGGGAGGAGGCATCCCCCACCCTGCAGCTGCATGTGTAGAAGGGGCATGTGGAAGTGCAGCTTCAGGGCAGTAAATGCCTCTGCCGCCTATGACTGGCAGTCCACAGTGACAGTTTTCTGCCAGAATAGCTCAGGTTCAGACTTGCTGTACAGCGTGAACACTGGGCTTATTTTGATGTCCATAAGGCACTGATCTTGTGTACAGCTAGTTGCTATTATAAATCAGTGGCAACCTGAAATATACTGTGGCTGTACAAATACGTATATTGACACACGTCCCCATGTATGTATAAAGGGACATATGCCCTGAACACAGTCTGTGTTCAGGGCATACACCTTATATCCATATGTAAGTATGCATGCAGTGTATTTCAGCTTGGCATTGATTTATACAGGATCAGCTCACTAAACCTGTGACTTGGGGGCACCAAAATACACCCTTTTTTTGCTGTATGGATTAAAGCACCGGAGTGCATGAGCCCTTAACTCTCTTTTTAACCACACAGCATGAGGCAGTAATGTTCAACACAATAAAGTTACAGCATGCATGGGGCTGGTCTCAGGCATAAAGGTACACAAATTGGGGCTAATCTGAAGTAAAAATGTGACATTTTGCTAATTATTTGCTATTTCCTTTGCTATTTCTTTGGATCTTTGTAATCAGAGGCCAGCCAGCAGCCTACTGTCTGTATGACTGCCTACTATATACCTACAACCCTCATGTGTACACCCTTCTTTTTGCAAACCCTGCAACAAGTATGTAAAACCTTTGGAGTTTTTGAAAGTGAAGTGCTTCTGCTTTATCTGAACTCTGAAGGTGAAGGGTTTAGGGCTGATCAAAAGAGAGGGGCATGTGGCTACTTTGAGGTCTGAAGGTGCAGAAAATGGAGCTTATCGGAGGTAAAAAAGTAAATCGTTTTCTGCTGATTAAAAAATATTGCGATGCATGTGAGGCTGCTCTCTTAAATAAAACTTTTCTGCTATCTCTTCAAGGATCTCTTAGTTATCAGAGGCCCAAATTCAGTCCTTACATGTACAAGGGTTTACTTGTGTATACAGTAACCTGCAATAGGAATGTAAACATCCTGGGTTTTACGAAGGTGCAGTTTTGGGACAGATTTGAGGTCTAAAGGTTGACGTTGTTCTAAAGGCTATCAGAGGTTTTACCCTAATGCATTCTCTGCATTAAGGTAAAAAACATCCACTGTTTCCCCAACATGCCTGCTGCTGTCAGCCAAATCCTGTGCAGGTCTGAGAAGGGGTCATGAGCCATGGCATGGCTGGTCTATGGACACACAGCCTAGCTTGGGAGTGCACCCACATGGGTTCCGTATAGTAAAGGGCTTGCTATGTGGGCACCTGCAAAAAGGAGTGGACAGCACCGGTAGGGATCACTCTGCAATATTTTTGCACAGAGCAGGTAAGTATAAACTTCTTTCATTTTTGTCTTTATATTCACTTTAAGGGTTTGTGGCTGATCTGAGGGTCTAAAGAGGAAGGGTTTGTAGCTGATCTGAGGTCTGAAGTTGCAGAAACTGGAGCTGATTTGAGGTTAAAAAATGAAGGGTTTGGGGTTAATTTTGTTGTGATGCTATAGGGCTGTGTGAGAAAGTCAGCACTTCAATCAATATTTTTTTGCTACCTCTTCCAGGATCTCTGTAATTAGATGCCCATTAGGGTGTGATCTACAGTTTGATGATGAAGGGTTTGGGGCTGATCAGAAGTTTTGCTATGATGCAGTTGGGCTGTGTGGCAAAGTCAGCTGTGCAATTAATGTTTATTTGCTATCTCTTCCATCTCTTCCATAATCAGAGGCCTGGCACCAGTCTCCAGTCTGCATGTCTGCAGCCCTCACCATTGTTTTTGTGAACTCTGTAAGAGGTATGTGAAATCTCTGATTTTATGGTGCAGCATTTGGACCTGACGTACCCTTAGGCCCCATGTACACGGGACGTTTCTGTACGATGGAAACTGACTGTTGGAAAACGTAGGTTAAAAACGTCTGTTTAGCTGCGCTTGCGTAATGCGTTTTATGCGAGTTCGCATTTAGAGGCATTTTTTAAATATAAGCACAGGAGAACCTCCCAAATGCCCAGAATGCACTGAAAAGTGGAAAATTATTAACTATTTCAGATTGTTTCAGCGGAATACACACAGTAGAAGCAGACACAGCAGTATGTGGTGAGATGCTCATTAACATTTCTTTTGTTTCCAAGGGTGGGAAGGTGTCTGCAGGAGTGAGTCATTAAGGTCACCTGGCAGGGGGTCTTCATGAGGAATTTGAGGTGTGAATGAGCATTAACATATCTTTCGTTTCCAAGGGTGGGAGAGGTCTGAGGTGTGAATTGTTCCTTACTATGTGTGACAAGCTTGGTAGGAACATCCTCTGTTAAGTGTTTTGTCCATCTGAGCACCTTGAAAACTCTTTGCATGATGAATAAAGACTCTTGACAACATTGGGAACTGGAAGAGTTAAAAAAAAATTAAAACGTTTCTAAACGCGATTTGCAGCGTTTACAAGCAAGTGTTTGAAACACTGATAAAATCGACGTCTGAATGCCAGTTTGTTGCGTTAAAAAAAACAACTGTAAACAAACTGACCATTTGGAAACTCGGGCACTGCCCGAGGGCCCGGGGTCAGTAGGGGGCCCCATGAGATGCCCCTGGTACCTTTTCCATAGGCTTTTTTGAGTTTGGGCAAGGACACAGGGGCCCCATAATCCCCTATTGCCCAGGGGCCCCATGAGTTGTCAGTCAGCCCCTGCTGTAAACTCAACTGCCTGTAAACGACTGTAAATGAAGATGTGTACATGGACACATAGGAAAACATTAGGGTGATTTCAGGGGCTGCTGAAAAAAAAATGCAGAACAGCTCCTAAACGTAAATTTAGCAGCTGCAGTGTACATGAGCCCTTATGGTGAAGGGTTTGCGGGTGATCTGAGGTGTAAAGGTGAAGGCTTTGTGGCTATTCAAAGGTTTTATTGTGATTCTATAGGACTGTGTGAGAAAGTCAGCTTTGCAATCTATATGTATTTGCTATCTCTTCCAGGATCTTTATAATTGGAGGCACCCTAGCCTAAACTACACTCTGAAGACCTGCTGCCCTCATGTACCATTCTTATACCATTCATATGCCTTCTTCATGCAAACCTTCTAATGAGTACATAAAACCTCTAGGTTTTTTATTTAAATAATTGCAGTGTTTGGATCTGATCTGAGCTCTGAAGGTGAAGTGTTTAGTGCTGTTCAGAAATGTTATTGTGATGCTGTAGGACTGTGTGGGAAAGTCAGCTCTGCAATTAATATGTATTTGCTATGTCTTCCAGGATCTCTATAATCGGAGGCCCACCAGCAGCGTACAGTCTGCATGCCTGCACCTTTCACGTGTATACCATTTTCCGTGTGAACCCTGAAACTTTTTATGAAGGTTCAGTGTTAGGGCTAGATCTGAAGTCTAAAGGCGAATAGTTTGGGGTTAATCTGTGTTCTTATGGGTCAGAAATTAGGGCTGATGTTAGGTCTGTGAATATGAAGGTGTTTGCGCATGCACTAGTTAATC